GGGGATGTGGGATGGGGGTGTGGTGTTGTGGGGATGGAGGACGTGGTGGTGAGGAGGGGGACGTGGGGGACATGGGATGGGGGATGTGGGGATGGGGGATGTGGGGATGGAGGACATGGTGGTGAGGATGTGGGTTGGGGGGATGTGGGATGGGGGACATGGGGGACATGATATTGAGGACATGGGACATGGAGGGACATGGGGATGCAGTGATGGAGGACATGGGATTGGGGACATGGGGGACACAGGGACACAGTGATGGAGAACATGGGGGACATGGGGATGCAGTGATGGAGAACATGGGGGGCACATGGGGACACAGTGATGGAGGACATGGGATTGGGGACATGGGGGACATGGGGACACAGTGGTGGAGAACATGGTATTGGGGTCATGGGGGACCCAGAGACACAGTGATGGAGGACATGGGGGACATGGGGACGCAGTGATGGAGGACGTGGGATTGGGGTCATGGGGGACATGGGGACGCAGTGATGGAGAACATGGGGGGCACATGGGGACACAGTGATTGAGGACGTGGGATTGGGGACATGGGGAACCCGGAGACACAGTGATGGAGAACATGGGGGACATAGGGATGCAGTGATGGAGGACGTGGGATTGGGGACATGGGGGACACGGGGTCACAGTGATGGAGGACGTGGGATTGGGGACACGGGATGGGGGCAGAGGGGGCTGCAGTGATGCAGGATGTGGGGCTGAGGCGGCCCCCATCCCATAGCGAAGCGGGCAGACTCTGAACGAGGAGACCCAGAGCGTGGGGCGTTCATTTGTGGGGCTGAACGAGGAGGTGGCCAGCAAGGAGGGCTACGACCTGCGCCACAGCCCCGGCTCCGAGCCCTCCAGCACCCAGAAACTGTATGAGACCAAAACCAAACTGCGCTGCAACCGTGAGCGGGGATGGGGCCGGGGCAATGGGGAGCAGACGGCGGACCCCACAGATTGGGATGTGGGGTGCAGGGCTGGAGCTGAGGTCCCCGTCCCACAGAGGTGGTGCAGGACGCGACGCAGCGGTGCCGGGATTGGTTTGACCAGAAGTACCAGGCTTGCATAGCGCAGATCGTCGTGCCCATCATCAGCCACCTCCTCTGCCTGCCCATGAGGTTCACCTTCCTCTGCCACATCGCCAAAGGTGGGCAGTGGGACCCCACACCCATCCCCAGACCCCTCTGCACAACCTCAGCCCCTGGGTTACAGCCCCACATCCCACAGCAGAGCCCCACAGACCCCTTTACCCAACCCCAATTCCTGATTTGCAGCCTCCACATCCCACATCAGAGCCCCACAGCCCCCTCTTCCCAACCCCAATTCCTGGGTTACAGACCCACATCTCAGCAGAGCCCCACAGACCCCTTTCCCCAGCCCCAATTCCCGGTTTGCAGCCCCCATATCCCACATCAGAGCCCCACAGCCTCCTCTTCCCAACCTCAATTCCTGAGCTGCAGCCCCACATCCCACATCAGACCCCCACAGCCCCCTCTTCCCAACCCCAATTCCTGATTTGCAGCCCTATATCCCACAGCAGACCCTCTTCCCAACCCCAATTCCCGATTTGCAGCCCCCATATCCCATATCAGAGCCCCACAGACCCCTCTTCCCAACCCCAATTCCTGATTTGCAGCCCCATATCCCACAGCAGACCCTCTTCCCAACCCCAATTCCCGATTTGCAGCCCCCATATCCTACATCAGAGCCCCACAGACCCCTCTCCCCAACCCCAATAACTGAGATGCAGCCCCACATCCCACGTCAGAGCCCCACAGACCCCTTTACTCAACCCCAACCCCCAACCCGCGACCCCCCACCCCACATCGGGTCGATTCCCCCCCCCCACCAGCTCAGTCCTTTCCATCCCCGCAGTGATGCGCAGTTGGTGCTGGGACCGAATCCCGGTGGAGGGCAATTTTGGGCGGACTTACGATACGGTGAACGGTTCCGTCCACAACCTCACCCAACACTTCAGCGCCACGCTGATCGTCAAGGTGGGTTTCCAACCCCCGAGCCCCCTCCCCAAAAGGAGGGGTGTCGGTGTTGGGGACGTTTAACGCGGGTTGTCCCCACGTTGTCACCACGCAGGAGGAAAAACATGAGAGCCTGGTGGGCATCGACGCGTCGGCGGAGCAAATCGTGGAGGAGGTGACGGCGCACGTCCAGCAGCACAGCGCACGGCTGCACCGCGCCTTCTCCTTCCTCCGCCTGCTGCTCTCCTTCACCTTCCTCCTCGTCTTCATCTCGTGAGCAGCGGGCGGGGGGAG